TTTTCCCTATTAACAGGTAATTTCACAATCTCTCCCCCAATCTGGAAAGGGCAATGTTTGCCCAGTTTCCACGCATATCCGCCTTACATATTTAATAGGGTTGTTTTTTTTTTTCTTTTCCTACTCCTAACACACAGGATCTTCATAAATTTCCTTGTTAGCATAAATCCTTGCAGTCTGTTATTTCTGGGGGGAGAGGAAGAGAGACGTTCACTTTCTCCATTCAGTGGGTTTTAAAATATGCTTCCTTAAGTTCATCCTAAATATTGCTGGAAGCAGAAAAAAAACCTCCGGCTCTCACTTTGGAGCCGTGGCATTGCTTCAGCGGGGCTGAGTCATCAGCCGGGATGGACGGACACACTCCTGCCTTCCTCCTCCCTTTAGGGGTACAGGGACCCTGCTCCCCAATACCAACACCCCCAGTCCCACCATCGCCCTGCAAACAACTTCTCCACCTTCCCAGGCCTTGAAAAAAAACCCAAAATAATTTAAGTAAGCTCCAGCCCATTCAGTCTCTCTTTGTTTCTCCTCTCTCCGCTAATTCACAATTATCCTCCACCAACTTGGGAGGGTATAACACAAAGGATGTCACTGAGCAGAGCTCATCTCTACACAGAGTCCGTCATCAACTAGACTTTGGCAGAGCTGCTCCAAGCAGACTCACTCGTGTGCTTCCACTTTCAGGTACAGCTCCCCACCACTTCGCAGTGCAGAAGGGAATTAATCACTCCTCCAGCAAACCACCAACTCACAATTTCTTCTTTTGGATGTGCATTCCCAGCTACCAGAGCTGAAACCTGTTAGCACACAGGAAGTTAATTTATTTCAAAGTCTAAAAAAAAAGTTAGTAATTTTGAAAAATCTAAAGCAGCATCTTCCCTGGCTTCTTGCTGCTGGTGCAACCCCTCTCACCAGCCCCTGCCGTCCCCACTCTCCTCCTGCCCTTCTCCTCCACTCCCAGCTCTCACTTCTCCCCTGGTAGCTCTTATTTCTCCTCCTCTCTCTGCTCAGGAGCACTACCAAGCACCAAGCCACCCTCATTTCTCCTATCTGAACACACCCGGTGCTGAGCATCCCCTAACTCCAGGCACCGGCTCGGCTGGTCCCTGTCAGGACAACCAGATGCAGGATGCGGTCCTCCGGCACGCTGCAGAACTAAAGGGGTTGGACACAAGACACCCACTCTTGGCAAGGAGCCCTTTCTCTCTGGAAAACCCTGCCACACACAGGGCTCGAGCCTCGCGGGCAACATTGGTTCACAAAGGCATTTCCATAAGAACAATGAGATTTTCCGCGCAAACACTGGTATAACTCCCGATTAAGCAAGGAGTAATGAGCAGGCATGTAGGGACACATGAGACAGGCTCTAGTGATGAGTGGCTCATTTTGAGGAAAAATAGCTATCGTAAGAGCTTGGCACTGACGGCTGCAGGCATAGTCTTCGTTAAGTATCTTCAGTGGAGACACCCAGCCGGCGCAGGACCTCTGCACAGCAGCTGGGGACTTTGTTGCAAGGTGGCCGTGAGTTGCACCCGTCACCACCTGTCTGCTCCTACAGCTAATGACTCATGCTTATTTACTAATAAGGATAATAATTTATTAATTTTCCAAAGAAAACCGATGCCCTGACATTTCTGCACTCTCTAAGAGGATGGACAAGCTGCTCCAGACCAGCGGCCACAAGTGATGGTCAAGTCAGCATGGAGACCTACGGGAGGCTGCGCCACCTTTTGCCCTCCTACCTGTGCTCAACCCTTCCCCTCCTGCACGGTCCTTAAGCCCTCCAGAATTTAATGCCACCACTCCTGAACTCTGGTTGCTACTCGTAGGAATTCATGGGGCTTTTTTAGCCAGAAAGACAAACCGACGCAGTGTGCTGTGCAAGTGGAGCGCCGAGAAGCAGGGCTATTTCATGGTTTTTAAGAGAGGGTCCTTCACAGGGAAGGTGAGGGATAGCCCTGTGGCATTTAGGGGAAGGCAGGGAATCCCAAAGCCCACGGCCCACAGCATCTGCTCCAGCACATCCCCACTGTACTGAACCAGTTCCCGCAGCAGCAGCCTGGCAAGTCTAACGGGTACAACAGCTTCTTGGCATGCAGTAGAGGAGCCAAGTCTGAGGGGAAGGGAAAAAAAAAAAATTACTACTAATGTTCCACCAATTATGAGTCACAGGGCTGAGCTTTTGTTTCTGCCTTGCTGGATTTTGCCCTTTCCCTGGTATTTCCCCAGGTCCAGCCAGGGGAGCCGCAGGGACGCCGACACTGGCCAAGGCTCTGCTGACACCCAGGGGAAGCGTCTCATCAAAATCCAACTCCCAAAGCAGCAGGTTTTCTTCACCTCTGCTCCCCAGGTGTACATGGCTGCAGAAATACAGTGAGGAAAAGATGGGAGGCCCTCTTCATATTCCCACAAGCCTGAATATGACACTGCTTGAGCTCAGAAGATGGAAACTTCGGGATCAAATACCTCCAGGTGCCTTTTCCCATCAACCCAGACCTTACCAAGCCACTGTACCTCACTGAGAAATCAGGAGCATCCCCAATCCGAGGGAAATGCCGTGGCTGGACACTGATCCTTGGACAGACAGCTTCATTTCATGACCCAAACGCTTTGAACCTCAGATGAACAGGACTCTGGGGTATCATCCATCAGTCCAGCTCCTGGCACAGAAGGTCACAGCCGCCCAACTATTCACAACTTGTGCTTCTAGTTAGCACTGACTGTTACTCTGAATTTTATAGTAAACCTGCTAGTTCGTTGAAAACTTTTTCCTATTTTTAAGAGTGGTATTATAGCCATGAAAAGGTCTACTTCAAAAACAGGGATTATTGTTTTTTTAAAAAAATTATATAGATGACAGAGATGATCTTTTGACTTCATGCTAAAACTTCCTGTTTAGAAGTTCATCAAGTAAACGAATAACAGTAGAAGAATGGTTCTCTTTGTTATCCAAAATTGAATTTTGTGGTTTTAGTAGGAAAAGCCTTTTTGATGATCAAAGCTGAAGCAATAAATAGTAGTGGCTTGATGCTAGATCCAAAACGTACTTATTTTTGGAACGGGAGTTAAATGCACATTAAGTTCCTTCGGTACACACAAGAAAAGGCAGGGAAGACCACGTGCTTTGTGTATCATTTACACAGGCCTGCGTTTCAAGCAGACCTATTAAATAAGTTGAAACGGAGAATAAATAAACTGAAATATGACAGATAGACTAGAGTCTAAGTGGTTTTTTTCCCTTTACTTCCCCATGATGACAAGTATGGGTTAACTACAGTGACGCTCTTATCCTCTTTCAGCAATCACGAGCACTGGGGAAAAATAAATCATGCAGCCCCAGACTCTTATTAAAAGTTACACTATTGGAAACTACACAGGGGGAGAGGAGGTATCCGATTTCAGTACAATCTCAGTCACGTGTTATCATTATATTGTTCAAGTAAAAGTTAAAATCTCTCTTCTATTCCAGAAAATCCACCAGATGTCCCATAAAGGACTCTGCTGTGAGAGAAGCTAAACCATTACATCCTTAGGAACCCCGGTTTTCAAACTCGGCTGCTATAATTAATGGCAATTATCAAGTTACAATAAAAACCATGGGCATGGGGAGCTTTACGGACGTGTATCCAGCCCGAGGAATGTTTGTTAGGAATTGCAAACACATATTTATTATAGCACAACCCTGAACGATCCAACTCCTGGCTATCAATTGTTCCCCTGCTATGGACACTTGGCAGCACAACAAAAGCAAGGCGGGCCGGCCCGCTGGATTCGGCACGCGGCAGCACCGCGGCAAAACCGACCGCAGCAGGAGAACCTTAAAGGAGAAGGAGAAGGGAAAATCCCCGGAGGGAAATGTGCCACCATGCCACGATGCTGCGGTGCCGTGCTGTTTAAATGCACTTTAAAGCGCTGCAGAGTCAGGATCGGCTTAAACATCCCAAGGAAGTCACAGGTCTCGCCAAACCGGCCATAAACGAGAAGAGAAAAGCCGTGGCTAACAGACCAGTACCCCAAGGGTCTCCTCCACCGCTGTCGACCTACAGCATCCCCCAGAGAGAGCAGCAAGCCCCGTCCATGTGCTCAGCAACCCGGCACCGAAGTGCCCAGGTCCCACGCCACCACAAAGCCCACCCCAACCGCTGAAGGAGGCACATGGGGCTTCACCGGGACGAAGGTTTGTCTGTCTTCATCGTAGCTCTCAGACCATTAACCTGGTCATTTCTGACACAGAAATTAAACCTGGTCCTTCAGACAGGTCCCTTCTTCCTTCCATGCAGCCAGCCCCCAGGCTGAGACGGGAAACTGGAGGGGAAGGACGGGAAACCATCACCGCAGCCAGAGCCCAGCGCCAAGCAAATGAAAGCCCCAACTCTCTCTCTGCCTGCTTGCAGGTAAAACCACCCCGGGGCCTTACAGAGCACCATTAAATGAATGAAAGCTTGTCGGGGTGGGGCAGAGCAAAAACCAGGACCTAATTAAGCAAAGCTTTGTTCGGGAGCTTCAATGGCATCGTAGCTGGGAGCCCTGCTCACGAAAGCAGGGTTTGCACTGCAGGGCCAGGACCCAACAGGTAACACAAGCTGTACGGACTCAGCAAGAACCACCGCAAAGCAGCATCGTTTGAAATGGTCCCACTGCTCCTGCCACGCAAATGGTGACAGCATACAGGCCAGCCCCACGCCAGCCCACGACCCCGGGGCTCGGAAGAGGTCTAGGTGGCTTCCACAGGGGACATGCGCAGCCCCATGGCCACCTCCCAAACGTCCCCGCTTGCCGCAGCACACTCACCCCAGAAACAGCGTCTTATCACGACACGTGGAGCGCAGATGCCTCTGAACAATCGACCCCAATAGCTGCTCTTTCTTTCCTTTTTTTCACACCAAGAATATGAACCAACAGCAAGCACCGCAACCCCCCGTCTCCTCCTGCTGTCCTGCCCCAGCCACGAGCTCCCTGGCGCAGACCACGCGTGCGGGAAGGCGCAAACATCTGCCAACCTGAGAAGTCTCCGGGCGTGACGTTGGGTGAGTTTGTAGCCTCTGTTTCAGTGTAAGACAACGTGGAATCTGATAGATCTGGGGGGAGGGGGAAAAACAAACAACAACAACGCTTTTAGTCCTCCTGTGCACCCACAGCTCTTCAGCTTCCCGTCACCTCCCCGATAGAAACTCTCCCTCCACTGGGCCAGAAAGCAACGCTTAACTTTGTACCTCTACCATGCAAATGCAAAGTTTGAATTGCTTCAACCACAAAAATAACTGCAGTTAAGTTGATCAAACAAGTAGGAACTTGGTGCTTACTGGATAAAGTTACATTAAGCCTCTAAACAACTCATAGTTACTATACTTAATTATCACCATTAAAATTCTTGAAGCTGTTTATTCTTGCTTCCTTCCTTCCTTCCTCTTTGCTGAAGCAAAGGAAACTTTGTTTTAACAAGTTAAGAGTCTTTGTTATTCTCTCTTGCTTACACCCCTCTAATTAAGTGCTCAACTGTTTGCTCACAGATTAACTATTATTTTTCCAATCAAACAAGCCAATGAAGCAAATTTCAATCCCTGGCTGTTGTTTTAATAAAGTCACATGTCACTCGCTATCATCTCTCCCTGCAGCACAAGCAGTTTCTAAAGGGAATTAACTTGGAAGGGGGAGTGCACGGAGGGACAACTCCTTTTTTTGTGCCTCCACACCTAACAAAAAAAAAAAAAAAAGAAGGAAGAAAAAAAATAACCAAACCACTCCACGACCAGCAAATTTTGCTTTGCAGGACGCTCTGGTCACTGCCCTGTGCCACAGCCCAGCTGTGGTGATGAAGGAGCCGGTCCCTCCAGCCAGCATGCACGCACCGGCTGAGCGGCTGCGTTGCAGGCAGGTCGCAGGCAGCTCCCAAGCCTGGCAGGGCAGGGACTCACCTTTGGCACGGGGCAGCTCCCGCCTTCCCTGGGGCTGGGTGGGACAGGCAGGCGCGCCGTCCCGCTCCTATCTATCGCCCTGGCAAACCCTGCCTGTCTCCTCCCTGTCCCTGCCCGATGGGGAGCGAAAGCAGCTTGCCTCGGTCATTACCCCCTCCGCAAATCAGAGCCACCGACTACAGGACGAAGGGAGAAGTCCCATGCTCCAGACGCAGCCACAGCTGCACCGATCCCACCAAGAAACCCAAGAGGGATGTGGGATTCCTCCCTTCCCTCCCATGTCTTTGCTTCCCATTTACTTGAGCAAGAAGCAGCCGCTGAGAAAGGTCAGTCAGGATGCAGCAATGCCAATTCAAAATATCTCCAAGCCAGCGTGCTCCATGCAGGACCACGCTCCAAGGCTGCGTTGTGCCAGGCTCTCCAGCAGCCTTCGCTTCGTGCCCAGCCTACCCACCCAAGCCGCTTTCCCCAGCTTTTTTTTAAAAAAAGCTTCTATAATTCATCAGGAAAAGTGAAACGCCATTCCGAAATTATACAGCGCCAAGTTTCAAAGAGTTTACGTCTCATTCTAATAAGCAGAGGAAGGGTAATAGCCAGTTCCTCCGTGGCGCAGCGCAGCCAGGGCTTTATGGAAATGGCACCCAGGAGCTCCCACTCCCCCTCCACTCCATCATCCCACAGATTACACACGCAGACAAAACATGACGTCTGGTAACCTTTCATTACGCCTTCATTAAAAATAGCGCTTCATATTATTTTGGAAAATATGCATGTGTCTACACCATAATTTGGTATGATAAACTGACATCCATTTACTTCTTAAAACCCTTCAGCTGATGCTTGCTCAGAAATAATGAGCAGCCATAAAATCCCAACTTGTTGGCTTTTGCCTGACGTGCCACGTAGGGATGTCTTAGAACCAACACCAGGACTGCACCATGAAAGAGCTGCCAGGAGATCAAAAGAGAGAAAACACATACCCAGTGGCTTTTGCTCATCATTAGGAGACAGCCGAGAGTAGGGAGGTGGTGGAGACTCTGGAAAAACAAAACTTTGTGTTAGTGCCGTGTTCGGTTTATCAACGAAACCCTCACACTTTCCTTTTCAGGGTAGGAACTCCTCCAAGGTTACAAACACCCACTGGAAGAAAACCCACTTGGAAGCAACTCAAGACCAAGAGTTTTCCAAATCTTTGAAGAATGGGGAGTTCCACCTTGACCCTTCTAAATGGGCTTTACTACCAAAAAAACGCTGCTGTTCTCCCCTACACTCCTGCCTTGCATTCCTGCCTGGGCGCCCGTGACCCAAAGCACGCAGGATGGCACATTGCTCCTGAAGAACGATGCTTTCATCATCTGCGCTGAAGACAACCACGGCTCAAACCACACACACAGAATTAACAAAAGCTCCCCAAATACTACATTATGTCTGAAAAAGGGTGTCGGGCGACAAAAAGTCACTCCTTTCTTGGCACAGGAAGCCTGACACCAGGGGCCAGGCTGGCTTCAGCCAACGAGCCACCAAAGTAACTTTGGTCCATTCCAACAAGCATCCCGTGACCCCGCAGCAGTGCTCAGCCTCTCCTGCCCCACTCCTGCTGACCTCGATCCAGCAAAGCTCCCAAGCACATGCTCAGCTTTAAGCAGCAGCACACCAGCAATCATGCACTTCAAGTTAAGCAAGTCCTTAGAAGTGCTTTGCTGAATCAGGTCATCTAACTGGCTCTTGCTGTGCTTCTAAGAGTCAAGGCCATACAAAAGGCTGAAGAAGGTCCTACCATCAACTTCTTGCATTGGTCAGAGGGTATTTTTCTTCTGAATTACGGCAGTGATTTTTCTTCTAGAATTGTAACTTGCTAAAACTGAGGAGCGTGCAGCCACCTGGGCTCTATCATGGCACCAGCACTGAGCAGACTCTGACTTCAGTGAGAAATTGTCCTGGAAAGTCAATGGCATCACACTGGCCCCAGACCACTGAAGCAAGGGTGTGCTCCTCAGTTCCCCCAGAGATCCAAAAACAAGGCACTCAGCCCAACAACTGCAGCTCAGCTTGGGCTATTTCATCAAAAACCTCAGCACCCCCTGCGTGATGGCTCTAGGATAGCCTGCGGTCATTTCTTGCTTCTCAGGAAAGGTTCCTCATCCCCCCCTAACGGAGCAAGCTGCCCAGCAGCAAGATGCTCTTCTCACAGGGCACCTAAGAGCCTCAAAAGAAAAATAATGGAGCCAATGTCCCAATCTGGACGTAACGGCTGACCCACGCTGTGCACAGCGGGCTGGTCCCATGCTACAGCCAGACCTGCTGCCCCAGGGGACTTCTTCAAAGCACCGCAGTGTGAGGTTCTCACACCGCTCAGCTACGTCACTCCCCAGTAAAACGGGTGACAAACACAAACAGGGATGGTCTCTGCAGGGAGCCATGCAAACACTTGCAGAAAAGGGCATCAAGGCCTTCCGCGGGCTCCCAGCACCTGGCTGGAGCAAGTGGGGCCCTGGCACAGACACCCACTAGCAAAATGATAGGGAGCCACTCCATAAAAACTCTGCTCTCTACTACTCTCTGCACAGCGCTGGGAAAACTACTGCCGCTGCAGGAAAGCGACTGGGAAACTTTGCCCATTTCTAAAATCAATGCACCGTTCCTACATATGCACATCTACCCCAACTGAAGCAAAAAAAGCTTCTTCCAGCCTCTAGCGATCTTCTGGGGTAGCATGCCCAGCACAGTTTCTTTCAAAGAAGTGATGCAAAGCAAGGCAGGATCCCAGATTGCAAAATAAATATTAAAAAAAAATAAAAATCTCAAAGCTCTTGCCAAGAAAGGGACCGGCAGCAGGAGGTTGGTGTCCTCCGGGACCCCTCTACCCACGGTTAGAAATAGGAAAACTCCGAGGAATGCACGAGCCCCGGCTCCCCCACCCCTTCCACGCGGGTCCGAGGTTCTCTCGTGGCCAGGGCATCCCCCGCAGCCCCCTCCCGGCCGCCGTCCCGGTGCGCCCGCCGGGGCCCTGCGGCTTTAAGCCGGCGGCGGTAATTGCCCGGCTCCCCGATCAACAGCGAGCCAGGCTGGCGCCAGCAGTATGCAAACTGCGTATTATCGCCCCTTCAGCACCTAAATAGCAGGGGAACCTCCGCGGGAAGGGGAAAAAAGAAGGAAAAAAAAAAAAAAAAGAATGGGCTTTTGAAGCACAACTGGGAACCGCTGTCGGCTGGGGGGTGGGCGATGCCAGCCGCGGGGGACCCCGGGCCGGGCGCATCCCGGCCGGGCATCCCCGCCGCAGGGCTGCCCACGAGGGTTCAAAGAAGGGGCCAGAAGCCCCGAACCCCCAAATCGAGGAGGGGCGGAAGGACGCCGACCCCAACACACGCCCCCCGCCGCTCCTCACCTGGCCCACAGAGGCGGCTGAAGTGGTAGGGGTTGCAGCAGACGGTGGGTCCGTCGGCGACGCCGAAGCTCTGGCACTCGCAGAGGGGCTTCAGCTCGGCGGGGTGCTGCAGGTCGGGCCAACGGAAGAGTTTGCCCAGGAGGAGGTGGGGGGGAGCCGCCTGGCCCCCCAGGCGCACCTCGGTGCGGGCCACCAGCACGCAGCCGCTGGGCATGCCCCCGCGGGACTCCACCGCCTCCAGCAGGCTGTCCAGCGAGCGTTCCTTCAGCCGCTTCAGCAGCGAGTAGGTGACGGCCTTCAGCTCCTGCTCCAGCAGCAGCAGCCGCGACCGCGCCTCCCGGCCCCGCCGCTCCGGGGAGCCGCCGTCG